CCACAGCTTAACACCTTTTTTGCCATAACGTTGTGTGACTTTTGCTCTGGCTAGTAGCTATGTTAACTACCCTCCAGAGAGCATCCCGCAGTTGTTTGGTTTCAGGCTTCCTCTTTGCAAAAGGCATAAAAAATATCCCCAAGTTACAGAGCTGCTACAGGTATGACCTCTGCAGCTCTGTGGTATGCGGTTGGATAGGCTTCTTCGCTGACCTGTGGTGTGTGAATGCATTTGACAGCAGGCAATACAGAATGGGAGCTCTGGAATTGCAGAACCTCATGATCTGTGCTTGGCCTTGCTCTCCTTGTCAGTGACCAGTCTCTGAATTTTAAAAATTCAAAAGTGCTGGAAAGGATATTTAGAGGTCACCTGGCTAGTTCATCCATCTCCAAAGGAAAACTAACATTGATGGTTTAAGCTAGGGTGAAGGCTGTATGGTAGATATCACATATATAACTGCAACATTTATTTCAAAGTAACTTTGATTCTTAGTAAGAATAATGACCCTGTATCCCCAGCCTTCCTTTTGAAGAGTCCTCTCTCATGCCTGGATCTCTTCCTTTCCCTGACTGCCTTGTTCTTGAGACTGTCTGTATGCATTCAGTTTCATTAAACCACCAGCAAGCAGATGTCAGCTTGATAGCAGTCTCTGGACATCAATTTGTGGAGAAGAGAGGGTTGACATGGACAGGTTTTCTGTGGGTGAGGGATTACTGAAACAACCAGTGAGTGCTAGTTAAGAATGGTCTCTTTCAGATACTGCATCATGGTCGTATTTTTCAGGATTTGCTCTTCCCTCACAACTCTTTAGGATATACATTGAGGCCAGGAACTCTCAGCCTTATCTGAACTAAATACTTTTCAGATGTTTTTATAAATAGAATTGTGTTTTTTTCTGAAGCGCATCTTGGAAAAGTTCAGGTTTATGGTCAGCCGTATGAACCCCTGTAGTGCCTGTGAGCTGAAGAACACTTCCTTAGTCTCATATAGCTATATCTTTCTGTACCAGTTTTCCACATACAAGCATACATTCAACTGCCATAGGTGTGGATGTGAAGCTGGAATACCTCCAGGTCAGCTGGCTTCTGCCAGAACACTTGGGAAAGCAAACACAGCTTTGTTTGACTAACTTTCATAATTGGATACGTATAACACAAGATGAAGTTTTAATCTGTCAGTGTGGAATTGCTGCTGCTAGCAACAGGGTAAGGTCCTACCCTTCTGGCCCTGTTTAGCTAGTCTCTCCTGAGCCCATCACAAGCTAGCTTTTGCCCTTTCATCTTGAGCCCCAAAAGCTGCTGGAAGACTCCATCACCAAAATGATGGTAGCCAAGAAATGGCACTGGTCATTGTAGGAAGACCAGAAGGATACTCCCTAGTCATGTCCTAATTTAGCAGTGTGACATACCATATGTATGTGGTATTCTTTTTATGTCTGCGTACTTTGTGGCAATCTTAACTGCTGCTTTAGAAGCAGACTCAGTTGGGGAGTTGTAGCCACCTTGGTATTTGCATTGGTGCTATCCATTTTTTGTTCCATGCAGTAACACAGTGTTTTCAGTTGTTTCTTTACCTGAATCATCAAGATAAAGTGTGTTCATGCGCCTATCAGGCTTACAGCCTCCTGGGGCCCATGGGCTCAGGCTCCATAGGACGCACAGCTGTGGCTGATAGGAGAAGGATTTGCAGAGCTAGTGTAAGGCAACACTGCAACAGTCACAAGTGGCCCCTCTTTAACTCCACCACATCGCACTTCGATTACGCAAAACATTTCTCTACCTCACTGCATGCAATAGCTTTTGCTGTGGTACCACAGGAATAGCAGAGCCTCAAAAAGCTGTGTGGATCTAAGGGGCCAGCCGGTTCTGCACTCCCTCACTTGCCTTTATCAGTAGAAATTCCTTCCTTGCTGATCGAATGACCGAGGGAAAATTATCTCTTTTTAAAACAGTTCACATTTCTTTGGATTCAGTTTCAAATTGGCATTCTTAAGCTTATCACAGACCATTTGTAAATGCACTAGTTCCTGACCGAAAGATTTAGCATGTACCAGATTTGTTATCCGTCTAGGACAAACAGTCTGAAAGAGGCACATGCCATATAATACATTCTTCATGAGCCGTTTAAAGGTAGCAAGAGCACTGCATAATCTAGAGAACATTATTTAAAATTGACAGAACCTTTACCCTATCATAAAAGCAGCCTTCTTCTAGGGTTTTTGGATTTACTTCCATGTTCACCTACCCACTTCAGACCGGTGTAGGAATCCAGCTAACCTTTCTGTAACATCAAAAAGATACAAGCACTAGTCAAATGTCTCTGATCCAGTGTGGTTCAGGCACAAAAGCTGCGTATGGTTCCATCTTCCTGAAGAGAGTGAGAATCAAATAACAGGTGGCAAGTGCTTGGCTCACTATTTAAATCCCCTTCTCTTCTCCATTCACTCAGTCATGAGCCCAGTAGTTGTTCAGGCTTGTTCTTAGCTTCTCACTCTCTCTTTACCTCACTGGTGTTTTTCTGCTGTCTCTCTCTGGTTGACCTTTCTTTATTTTTTCTACTACAGTGATACAAAATTCTACTAATATGTACCTTGTGTGGAATAGTGGTATGTCTGTGTGATCTGGATGAAGGCTGCTTTACCTATAGCTTTCCAGCACCACAGAAAATCTTCATTACTTGTTATGTTTTCCTTGATGAAAGCCTACTATAACTGTAGCCGACACCCTTGGCCAGCCTCATCCCACCTAGTGGTAGTAGGGGCTACACATAACAAAGGACAGAAATCTCTTGAAGTAACTACTTAATTTTGTGTCGTTCCCATAGTACTCATATTTTTCTTTCTACAGCAAATTGTGGCAGAAGCTAATGAAGAGTTAGAGAACCAGTTCTTTCTGCCAAATTTCATTAAATCTTCTCTGAAACGGAAAAAACCTGAGCTGTGTGCACATATGAACTATGTGCATGTTCATATGTATGAACATCTTCATATTGGCTTTGCATTGTTGCACATCATGGCCAGCTGGAGTTAAAAACTTTAAATCACAACACGCAGCACCAGCAGCGCACAGACAATTTTTCTGAGCTGATCACACTAGTGTATAGTTGCAGTGATACAACATGCTGATAGTATTACAGTGTGATGCTACCAAACCAGTTCGTGACCTTGAAACCAAGAGAGTTGTTGTTTGGCTTCTGTTCCCTCAGTTCACTCATCGAAACTGTAAAATCATGAAGGCGAGTTGGCATGTGTCCTGCTGAGCAGGCAGCTGCCCAAGGGCAGCCTGCTCCCTGTGTGCTGAGCTACTGGAGGTTTGGGTGTGGGCAGCAGCTTCACTTTCACTGTCTTTGGTGTGTGAATCTGAGCAAGAAGAAAAACTGGAAGGAATTGCCTGGCTCTTTGCCACCTCTTTACCTTGAAGAGCAGCTGGTATCTATAGCAAGTTGTAACCACTGTTAGTCAAAATCCTGTCATGTTTTGTTTTCAGGAGGCAAATGACTGACATTTTCCTTTGACAGGACAACTGACTTGGTCATCAGATTTGTCTGGGCTTGTCACAGCTATTTGGGTATTTAGGGAGAGGCCCAAAACCGTACCAGCCCTGAATCTGCTGGGGGCATGGGGTAAAGTGTTTCCATCTAGGACTATATAAGCTTCTCTGGAGCCCTCTGTGCTGTAGCAAGGCCCAGGCAGAGCCTGTATCCCAGGATTTCTGTACATTAGAGCCATCTCCTCAACACACCAGTTTTCCCTTAGAATATCATTGCAGGATGAAAGGAAGAGTAGTGCTTTTCCATGCTTCTGTCCTCCCATCCCACTGCAGTTTCCTGCAGCTGTGCCTAACCTCTCCCAGGGTTACCTACTGTGAGATTCTTTGTGGTCCTGCTCCCAGGGCATCTGGCCAGGGACTGGCTCTAGCTGGTTCCCTTCTGCTGCACCTTTCCACTCAGGAGACCAAGGAGAAGGCAAGGAGGATAGGGCTGATGCTCACGTCTACTGCCCGTACAGTGTCAGGACACAGCACATGGAAACCTGGGAGCTCCCAGCTTTGGAGGGGCAGGCAGAGTGGCCCCACTGCCTTCTCCAGCATTGTAGTGGCAAAAGGAGTTGGGACCAAGAGTCATTTCTTTGCTGCCTGCGTTTCTGCAGAGACTGAATTGCAGCAGTGGGGCTTATCTGCCCTCTCTTCCTGAATTTGCCTTTTTTTTTTTTTTTTGCTATTTTCTTAGAGGAGATAATAAATTTTTTCCCCCTCAAAACTCACTAAAGCTATATGTATGGCATAGCTGGGCTATATAACAGTTGCTTTTCTATACACCAGGCAGTTTTATCACTTTATTAGAAAGAGACTGAGATTTCCAGGTATATTTTAATTTTATTTTTCCCTAAGAAAAAAGGCAGTAAGTACTGTATGTCTTATTTGCAGTAATGGCTGCCATAAGTTCTCCTTTTGACAAGATTTAGAAATAAGACAAAAAAACCCAAGACAACCCCTAGCCAAGCTACAGAATCCCAATGAATCACATTGAAAAAGAAGCTGGTAATATTGATCCCTTGTGTACCGGTAGTTAAACTTAAAAAATCAATGGAGAGGGAAGCTTAACTGGCCTTTCTGTAGTATCAGAATGCAAAGCTAAATCCCGAATGCAGTATTTTTATGGCTATAAATACAGGGGATGATTTTCAGACAATGTTAAAATTACTGCTTAATTCCCTTTCCTCCAGGAAAGAGCTCCTATGAGGTGCACTTGGAAAGAAATCCCTGAGTGTACTAGACATACTTCTGCATGAACCAGGAAGTAGCTCTTCAGAGTGGTATGCGGAAGGAGTGAGACCAGCTTGACCAGTGAGGACCCCAGTATTGCCATCACTTCTGCCTTGAGTAACTTTAAACATTTGTCCTGTTTGTTCAGGCAAATCATCTCTCAAAATATAAAGCTATTCCTGCACACAAGTGCTGGCAGGATCTGGGATCAGCAACTATAGAAACATTGCTCTCCTGAGTGTTTGTAGAAAAAATATTAGGCCTTGGTCCTCTAAGGTACTCAGGTGAGAAATCCACATTGCTAAATATCTCTGAGGATCTGAGTGCCTAGAATGAGCGCCTGGTATTTTTAACAAAGCAAGACTTTAAGGGCCTGTCTGTGCTTCTAGCCAGATACGTATTTCTTCCTTGTTTACTTTTATCCATTCAATGTTGTTCTTCACCTGCTCAATTGACTGACTCCTGGGCAATTCTCCTGCCCCAGCATTAGGGTATTTCTCAAAGAAATTTTCCATCTGGAAAAGAGAGAGAAACAGGATTGACATGAAGCAAATAATGCTGTTATTTGGGCAAGTGGCTTTTTACAGGAACCTGTCAAGGGCAGTTTTGGCTGGGAGAGATATATAAGCTCAGGCTAGTAGCACTGGGATAGTTTTACAGTAACTCATACTGCTTTAAACATTTAGAGGATAAAAAGTCGAGTTTTCTGGCAAGTAGATTGTTTAATATATTAACCTAAAACCGAGAGAAGTTCTGTCACCATACCTGCCAAAGCTGGAGCTCAGTGTTGAAGGTTTGGGAAATAGTTACTATTCGACCAAGGTTTCTGTCAGTGATAGTGAATCTAGAAAAACAATTTAATGAATTATGTTTGATGCAAAACCATTAAAAAAGAAAAGGCACAAATAACCACCCGAAGCTTAAACTTCTAACTGCTAGAATAAAACAGATTCACTCAGATTTCAGCATTTTTGGAAGTATTTATGAAATAGTACTCCTATAAAATATCTGTGCTCTTCTCAAGTGTGTTTACTAATGGAGTGATCTTTTCTGGGGGATTTTTTTTTTTCATTAATGAGTTATTGTCTCGTGCTGGAAATTATGTGTATTACTGCTCAGCAAGACATGCTGTCCAGTTCCCAGGTCCAGGCTTGCAGGTGTGCTTTGCTTCTGTGCCCTCACCAAGCACTTACAAAGGAGGAGGAAGGAGGGATAAGTCACTCAAATAGGGAGAAGCAAAGCTAAAATGCTTGCTGTTACTTCCACCGCTCGTCTGTACATCTGCTGCTGGCTGGTACCGCTAGGAGGAATTAAAAAAATTCTGTGCAAGGTCTTCTTGAAAGAGTGCCATCTAGTGCTTCTAGAAAGAGTGGAGACATGACTGACTAATTTCCATGCAATAACCAGATTTCTATGGCCTCGATAGAACTTTCTACACTTTTTAATCACCTTTTATTTGTAGTGATCGTTTAGGGGAAGAATGGTTTTCAAGTTAGCAACAAAGTACTTCTTCACAGCAGATGGATATAATCGTGTTGAATAAGCTTTCAGTTTTTGTTATGCAAAGGCCAGTGATCATAGCTGTATGGTGAAAATATAGAAAAGCATGGCATATAACAAGATATACAGATGGATGTAGTTTCCAGTGAGTTCATTGGCGTACCTGTCAACTAAGTACTGCCAGTTAAGTCGTATCCAGTCCCAGGCCATGGTTTTCCCATAGGTGTTATATGAGATGTATCTCAGGACTGTGAACACATCTTGGGTTTTGATGAGGCTGGTGTTGTAAATATATTTCAGATACCTAAGGGAAATGCCATAAGAATCAATGAGACCCTTCCGTGAAAGACCGTGGAAAGCAAAATTAACACGTTCAGTGTAGACTTAGCTGATGATGATGAGAAATAATGCAATGCTAATGTTGCTTAAGTAGTTGCTACCACAGTCTACAGCCCATTTCCAAGCAGGAATATTCTTTTTGTCTGTAGCATTTTAGAGATGAAGTACACTGATCTAAACCACAAGTATCTGTTGATAAGTGTGTCAAGAGAGAACTGAATTGAAAGAAATCTAAGCAGTTAGGCATCTCTTTAGAACGTAAGTAGGGTTTATGTCTCTAAGTTACCTGAAAATAGCCAGAACCCTTTAGTTTTCCTATATTTTAATCAAGTAGTGAAAACAAGATTGGACCAGTCGGTAGTCCAGCCCATTCGGGTAGCCAAGTGCCAAAAACGTAGTAGTCCAGGCTATAAGGATCTTATAGGGACCATGAACACACATGCAGGTGGCTTGCTCACACTGAAATCTGTGCTGTTCTGAAACTCTTATCCACACAAAATTAAAATTCATTTGGGCATAGCATGCCTGCAAGTGCTGCAGTTATACTTTCAGTTACAGCACAAATGGTTTTGACTGAGAGAGTGGAGGACTCCCTCAGCAAGCACGTTTACAGGGAGAGGAGTAGTATGGTCGTGGCTTCACAGCAGCAGCTGCACAAAAGCACCCTTAGGCTGTTGTGTGCTGGGATTAAGAGTTGTCTTCTTTTTTCCAATATGCAAGGGACAATTTTCTCAATCTGTTTGCTCTTTTCCCCTTCGTTGTTATTTTAATAGTAAATTAAGAGACAAGTTGTCCTGCTTTAGGGGGGATTTTTTATTTTGTGCAGATATAGGCTGATCTAGCTAATTAATCCATGTCTTAATCATGTCACTGATTAGTTATTGAGTGGCTTTAGATTACGGCTGTTGTGGTCACAAGAATTTATGATACAACTGCCTCCTACCACTATTTTAATTACTCTAACTCTTAATATTTATTCTTCCTAAACCTCCTGTACTTCCTTGTTTCATCTTGTTTAAACTTGGAACATTTCCAGGCAGAGACTGCTCCATCTTGTGATATTTGATGGGGCTCCAACAAAGGGGTGAACAGCCCTGATGAAGGTGTTTGCCTGCATCTCTGCTACACGATACAAGTACATGCAAACTTATCAGACAAGCTTAAAGGAGCTGGTGTGTTTATGGAGAGCAGCAGCCTGGGGAGATGTTTGACCAGCCTGACAGCTGGATCAGCCTCGAGCAGTATCTGTACTCCCCATCATTGGCATGAATATACCATTTCTGGTTCTAGCTCAAGTACCTCTGCACAGCACTTCAGGGAGCATTGCAACTTCACATGAATGCCTTCATAGGGCTGTTAGTAACAATTGCTCAAGGTTTTTTGCCTAATTTTGGCTACTTAGAAGGTAGACATCTAGTCTAAGCAAACTCCCTCAGTAGCCAGTGGAGGGTGACTAGCAACACCAAAAAGCAATTCTTCCCATTGATTTTAAGTGCCTTTCCTGGTCTGTGATAGAACAGTGCTCTAGAGGTCCTGCCTCCCTTCGCTAATTATAGAGGAAACATGGACAACTACTTTTCTCCTGATGCTTAATTATTAGGCAGCTAAAATTACGCAGGGTGAAGGCACTGTTGGAAGAGCTGAAGGCTGTTGATTGTGTGCAGAAAATACCATGTGTTCAATGTCTTTCCACTAAAGGAGCAAAGCTTTTTTTCTGTTATAGTACAATCTCAGAGGGGGGTGTTAGATAACTGGTCTTGAAAATGTGTTGCATTCCTCATGCTGCAATCTGACAAAAATGACAGCACAGGAGAGAGGAGAGGGGAATGAGAAAACGGTGACCAGTTGCTTCTGTAGGGCAAGAAAAATCTTTGTGTGTTTAAATCACCTGTCCAAAAGGGTGATGTTCTTTACTGATGCCAGGCCGTACAGCAGCTTTTCTTTTTCTTGTGCTAATGAAGTTTCTTGGTATTTCCTGAACATGTAATTCCATGATGACTCATTGCCCGAGTTCTGCATCCCATAGCGATATACTAGGAGTCGGAGATTTGCAGGAATACTAAAATAAAGAAACAGTACTTGAATATTTTTCCCCCTTTCCTGCTTGAGATCTGTGACCAAATCACATGCTGTGTTCTTCACCAGCCACAAAAGCTGTGAGCACTCACGTTTCTCCTTGTAGCCATTGCTCAAATAGATTAGAAGCATTGTTCAAAGATTCTGTGTCATCCATACTGCAGGCAAAGTCTAGAACAGATGCACGGAGAAGCCTTTAAAAGAGAGAGAGGGAGAGAGAGATATTTTCCTTCTGCTTAGCGTTCTTCAAATCCGTCAATAATACGAAAAGGAAAAAAAAATAAAATTGTTCAACCTCTCCAAATGTCCTCCAAAATCATTCCAGTGCAGTTGATCCACAATGGGTTTTACCAGGTAGCGAAAATATTCCTGAGGTAGAAAAGGGTGTTGATTATTTGTGTATATTTCTTTAAATAATAACACATTTTTGTTCATAGTTTACTCTCCTTCATTTTTCCCAGAACTACTATCTCTTAAACAAAAAGTAACACAAACACGCACACACACGATCTTTCCAGATCACCACAACATGCCAAGTCTGAGTGCTTGCAATACTGATGTGCAGATAGGACAAAGGCAACCTGCTTCTCTCCAGCCTTGTCCGTGCTCCAAAATGAAGGTTGGGGTACAGCAAGGACATACTGCCCCGAACATTTTCCAGAGATAATGCTGAGTTCAGGACATACTTATTTTAGTGGCCGTTAAATCATGTTCAGCATGTTAGGTCAACAAACCAACCTGCTATCTCAAACTGCCACGTTGAGGTATAGCCATCCTTCATGCAGAGGACAGATGATAGAGATTTTGCTGCCCTATACATCTTTATTGGATGCACGACAGCCTTGACTAACAAATGTCTATACTGTGACTTATGGTGATGGATTATAGGAATAGTTAGGCATAATTTCTTTCCTCCAAGTGCATAGTACTGAATTGAGAATCCAGGTAATTCAGAGATCAGCACTAAGCAGTTTTCATCACTTTTTTTAAGAGTACAGTAACAAAAAGTCAATACTGATAGCTCAGCAACATTGACAATCACTTGAACTTCAATATTATTGCTGTTACAGATCCTGAACTGTCAGATCCAGTGGTCCCATGCAGCAATGTTTTTTTTTTGCTTCATCACCTGAACCCGGGGATAGAGATTCGTATCATCTTCAAGCATGTTTGCGAGGTAAGTTACAGATGATATAACTCTGTGCCAAGGTAAATAGTCTGTTTCATTTCTTAGGTATTTTGTGAGCTCCAGGGGAACAGAGTAACTCACTAGTCCAGGTCTGTGGAAGGAAAAAACGTAACTTCTGTTATTTTAATGAATTGGAAGACCTTGCTGCTTTAAAGATATTAGAACCCTATTTACTTTAGAAGGTCTGAAATAATAAGTTTTGTGAGGGGCAAAATAGTCTGGAATGTAACTTGGGAGGTGTTTTCCAAAGAAACCACAGAGGATCACTGTTGGTCAATGCCTAACCGCAAGAGCTCTCACTGCTGTGAGGGGGCTGCTCACAGTGTGCAGCAGCCCAGCGTGCCCAGAAGTGGATAGCCCTCAACTGACTACATTAACTCCTGCCACACAAAAAGGAATTACTAGCTCGGGAGACATCCTGAAAGGCTGAGGAGATTCAGACTTAAAGGCTGTCACAGAAGGTCACCTAAAGTTTATCTGTGTCAGCATGGCTGTGTACAAGAGCTAGAAGTTTCCAAGCAAGTTTCTAAGCAAGATAGCTGAGGTGGTAACTTCCTAATGCCATGTTATGCATTGTAGGCATGCCTCTGATTTTCTGGACACCTAACTTCTTCTTGAGTGTTTCTATTATTGTTACTTACATGGCAAAACCAACTCTTTCTAAGACCTGTGCAAATAAAGCCCTTTTTTTTCTGCCACTGAACTGACGGGGAGCATTTTGCTTGACTACACTGGTACTGCAGGTTGCCATTGCCTACTTGAATTTGCCCCTTTTGGGGGATATCATAAACCAATAAACAATTAAAACTTGTAAAAAAATCCGAAATTTTTTTCAGCAACCTGAGTTAATTCTAACGAATAGGCAATGGAAAGTGAAAAACTTGTGTTGAAATTTCTGCAGGGAATTGGTTTACCTTGCTAAAGAAAAGGCGTCATCCAAAATCCCTGCACGGTCAGCAGCTGAAAAATCCTGTGTGAAAAGATGAAAAGAATGATCAAGAATGTGTAGATTATTTGCAGAAAAAACAGCCTCTACAGACCTTTATAAAAGACCCACCAGACAGGTGAACGTTATGACACTCACTTTGTGGTTGCTGACCAGAAGAGTGCTCAACCTGGCCCAGTTTTGACTATCATAATTCACCCGATAGAATCCGATGTGGTCTGGATTAATATTCACAGAAGTATCAGGAGGCGATGCTATCGTAATTCCTGCAAAACAAACAAACAGTGATCGACGTGTGCATCTTACATGACACAGAACTCAGCGGAGATCCCTTGACTCCAAAATTAATATTTGGTTTTAATGAATATTAAAATAACATTCAAACCTTATTTTTTTTTTTTTTTTAAATGGCTAAGAGTAAAGATGAGTTGTTACAGATTTTAATGAATGCCAGTACTTGTTTTAGAATAGTGAATTGTGGTAATTACTTGGGCCAGATATAGTTTGTTAAATTTAAAATGGAGATCATTGTGATTAGGGTGAGGATATTGAAAATTTGTGTCATTGTAAAAAGTAAAAAATTGCGAAGACATAGTTTTTGCAAATATCTCTTTTGAAAGGTTTTTCATTCTTATAATTACTATTAGTTTTAAAGTTCCCATATTTTATCCTCCATTAGTTAATTTTTCAGTTTATTTCAGCTAACTTTTTAAGAGTTTTCTTCCCTGTACTCTCCTCTGATTCATTTTTGTAGTTATAGATAAAAGAACTACAAAATAGGCTGACTTCACCCAAGCACTCATGTTTAAGGAATTTCCAATTTTAAATGAATCCTTGAAAAATGTTCCTTTCTCAGAAGCTTGATCTGGTCCAGTTGGTGCTGCTAGTTATGACAGTTTTCCTATTGCCCATTGAAAGCAGTGGTCTTCAATCTGTGGTTTGAGGGTGGCTGGAGTTAAAAGCTCTTTTCTGTTTGGATTACCCATACAAGGTGTTTCAAAAGGCATTTTTTCCCTACAGTTGCTGTTTGCCCTACTAGCCAAAATTTTTACGGATGTAGAAGCAAGCACCTCATCATGCCTTTGCAGACTTTGTCAAGTTATAGCCTCCTGCAGCCCACTGTGATGTCATGTGGAAGTTAGAAAGGAAAATTTCTTTGTGTTAATCTCTGACTTGCATCATGACGTAACAGTTTTTTGCTTGCTTTTTCAGGGATACTAAAAGCAACCAGGTAAACAAAAAAGCAGAACTAATGACAAATTGCATTTTAAATAGGTAACATTCAAACAAGTACAAAAGAGAAGAACTGATTGTGGTATTTCCAAAATTCCAACATGTGATGAAATTTAAAAACTCAGAAAGTCAGTAATTTTTTTTCCTTTTTTATCCCCATTCTTTCCCCATTTTTGGCCACTAGAGTTGTAGAATGAGAAATTCAGATTTGACTACATGATAGAACAATCATCAAAAATACCTGTGTAGGTATTTTCTCATTCCTGAAATCAGCATTAGAAAGTGTGTTTAATCATTTGTAGCTCTTTTTATCTAACTGAACTCAGACTGCCAGTTTACCATGCCACAGGTACATCCATCATGCTGCCACTTCACCTCTTTTCTTAGACTCGACAAAGGGCATGTCTAAGTCCCCTTGACTTTAGTACATCATAACTAAGAGTATGCTTAGATGCTTCCTTGAATAGGACTGCATTTAAACACATGCTTAAGCACTTTACTGAATTGAGTCTAAATTGACATAATGTGTGTATAGGAGAAATAATCATCTTATTGCAGAAATGACTGCTAACTGCAGCCCAAGCAAGCTGTGTGCTGGTTCCCAGACCTGAAAACTGAAAAGCATGGAAGTTAATTCTGTATTTTATTTCTTGATAAGGACATTGTAATGCATTTTCCATTTATTACTCTTAAAAGAGAAGGGGAATTTTACCTGCAGAATCTGATGTGTTGTAGAAAGTATAATTTGTTGAACTCCCAAGTCTCCATTTCACTGGTATATTCCATTTGTAACTGAAATTATTTAAAGGGAAAGACAATCAAATGACATTTGAAACCAAAGCTAAAAATAAAACTCTAACGTATCTTTTTGTTTATTTTGATGCTTACATCTTGTTTTATGAGGCCAGCTGTGTGTTTATGTACATATACATGTACCAAATATCCCTTGTAACAAAACACAGCATTTTACTGATAGCTATTGTTTATGTTGTAAAGATGTTTCTGTGCTATGATACTCTATTCAGGCAGCAAAATATCAGATATCAGTGTGGTATGATTGAGGCAGTTATATTCCCTGAAAAGTAAAATAAAAAGCATGAAGTGTCTGAGCATGCTCGTGCTCTAGAGATGGGGAATAGCAGTAGCTTGTCCTCATGCTCTGTATTTATCAATAGAGTTCTCAAAATGCATCTGGTGGACTGAGCAAGGGAGCAGGGTAAGAATTTGTCCAGTGTCTGATGTTGACGTGCTAGTCAAATTAACATGGTACTGCGTTAATTAGGTGCCTAAAGTTAAGTCTAAAAGCTGCACAATTTGTCTGTTGGGGTTGTTTTGTTTTGTTTTTTAAATCAATGGAACTGCTAGTTCATCTCTTGCTGGAGAGTGTAATAATTACCCATAATCAGAGAGAGATCATGTGAAAGACTTTCCATTGTGCTATACTGTGTGGCTTATTACCACAGCTCTGGAACATGCAGCCTTGCCGAGCACTATCTTCATGTCATGTCGGACAACAGTCTAGCACTGTATAAAGCAATTGATTTAGTAAAAGTTCATTGTACGTGGATGGTTGGTGTCAGTATAAATGTTGATGTGTCTGGGGCTTTGTGCAGACAGCGGTTAATCTTTGCAAAACTGACTTGAAATAGGTGGTTAAGTACTATGAAACCTTTTTTACAGATGGGAAAACTGAAAGAGCATAAGCAATAGCTGCAATACAGTCAGTAGGACCTCTTGCCTTTTCCAGCTTATATTCCTTCTCCAAGACAACGCTGATTCCTCCATTATAAAGCACTGAGAGCCAAATGTGAACCTTACATCTTGCTCCTCAATTCCTTGAATATTTTCAGTGGGTAGGTGCAGGCTCCTCAGTCCAGGGCGTGCCCAGGATGAAGCTGAGATATTTGGGCTGGAGAGGAGCCATGGCACAGCCTAAGACCGTGACCAGGCAGTCAGGGAAGGAGGAGGGCAGACTGTGCTGTGAGCATACAGAATCACAGAATGGTGGGGGTTGGAAGGGACCTCTGGAGAGAGGAGAAAGATCAGCTATTCTTTTGTGCCTTCTGAATGAAAATATCTTAACAGATTTATGCACTTCTAGATTTTACTAGTTCTCTTATGGAGCTTACTGCCATGGAATTTAGAGAGGTTATTGTTTGATCAGAAGCCCCAGTATTGTGTTTCCTGAGAAAAAGTACATAAAAGATTTCTTTTTTTAAAAACCCTGGTTTTGTAAACGCATTTAATGAGGTGGATTTTATTATTTTTTTTAATGTGTTCCTGAGATTACATACGCAAATACTTTTCCTCAACATAAGATAAAATAGCTGTGTCCTGTTAACTGTGAGTATTGAGGACACGTTCCTGACATGCTATGCTGTAGCTACATATTTGCCCAGCAGCACTATTTTAAGAGCACGAGTTTTTGAACTTCCATTTCTTTTGAGTGCCAGCATGCAGGAGAGGACTCTTTCAAGTCAAACATGCTTGAAACAAGCAGGCAGCTTGCAGGAGATTATCCCTGCAGGGTTCAGAGAATAAAGCATACACAAGGCCTGAAATTTTCACTGCTTAAATCAAAACCCTGCACCCGGACACAAAATAGGCCAGTCCCATCTGGGGTAGGATCTCTTCAGGAGCTTCCTCATCCCCATATGTGAGGGTGGAAGGAGGAGGTGTTGATTTTCAGTGGCTTGGGGAGTAAGTTTGTCCCAGGATATATATCAGCATTATAATGTATTTTACTTCACTTTTTATTTTTAAGTCATTTATAAAAAGTACATATTCAGAAACAAATTCCCCTCTCACTTTGGGAATAGCAGAGGCAGTGCACAGGTCAGTTTCTTGACAGGTCAAGGTAGGAACAATGCTGGGATTTCTACTCAAGAAATGACAAATGGCAATGTACTTTAAATCTTAAAGTCACACAAAAGTAGGATTCCTGAGTCTGTTCCCTCAGAGCGTAGTGTAGTAAGTCAAAATTTTTAATACAAAGAAGTAGTTTTGCCCTAATAACGTGTAACACTAGCTGTCAGATGGCACAGTGCTGTACTTTGCAGCTAGAGTGGCTTCAAATGCCTGCAAACTTTTCTGCTTATGTTGGGAGAAATACAACATTGCAAATACACAGGTAATTATCTCATCCCAACTCTTTTGATACCTATCTAAAACTGCCAGTACCAGGGGCCTTCTCACTGCTCAAGTTTTTTCTTTTTAATCAGAACGAAATAAAGTGGCCACAACTCTTCATTTTTTCCTTATTCTTGCTCTTTGTATTAAAGTAACTAGTAGAAGCTAATGGAAAATTGCATTTAGGTAGATTTAGTTCTGGCTCACACATGCAAGTTTTACTTGTTTAGTTGACTGGGCCGGTTCAAGGAATGAAACCTTCCTAATATGGGTTAATTTGAATCTCTTTCACTGAAATGTTGGCAAAGTTGTATGGCCTCAAAATTGAGGCTGGCTAAGAATATACACGATGCCAGCTCTGAACAGTTATTCAGCTGGTCAATGCCATGGTGCAGCTGAGCTGTTTTTCTGTGCAGGTCCACCAGCCCACAGGTAGGGTTCATCCTCCCTCAGGTTAGTCATCTGTTAATTAGCAAATGTGCTCCTATACAGTATCCCACCTGTCTTGAATAGGGTAGCTGAGTGTCTGCAGCTGGCTGTCTGGCCATATAAGGGCCCAAGACAGCTAACTGACTTGATAACTATCTAACATTTTAGATGAGTAAACTTAAGGAATACCATCCTGAATTAAATAGGAAAAAAATAGCTCTTGATGAGGATCACTAGTATTTATACCTGACTAGCTATTTCACAGTAACTCATGTTTTTAAGACATGAGGAGAAGACCCTGCATTGTATGTGAAGACCCTGTGAGGTATTATAGATCCCGTACCATATAGGAACAGGAATACACTATCATGCTATAACATACCTGGTGTCTGATTTCTGGACAGAGACAATTTTGTGTCAGTTTTCCTTAGTCTGGCAGACTATAACTTGCAGTGGTTCAACAGATGAGTTGCAATTATCTGAGCTGTCTGTGTGTGGAAATAAGATTTTCTGAGAGACTCTGTCCAATTTCATTCTGCTGTGTTTCGGAAAGAAACCCTGAGACAAAGGGCTGATGTTGTTTTAAATTTGAAATATTTGTATCTATCTTGCTGCTGGTTTCTTTTTAAAAACAAATGTTGAGAGTAAGTTTAGCAAGAATGGGTATAACACTGCCTACATGTGTGTCAGTTGAAGAGAGTATCTGTAGAGTATTTCTACCTGTTTTGGATAGACATTTACAGCAGGAACTCACCCAAGATCAGAAGGAGGATGAGAAGCATTTGCATTGGGATCCAAGAGAAAACGTTTCTGTGTGAATACTGAATTAGTTCCCATCTCCAAAACAGGGTAGCCCATCTGCCTAGTCCATGTGTCCATGACTTCCTTCACAGGTTTATTACTTGCCTATGAATGAGGGGAGAATGTTGCAGTGAAAAAGCAAATTCAGTCCAAAGAGGTAACAAAGATAAATATCTCTGATACTTAGAGAAAGAAGAACAGAAAGGGGCAGAGGAAAGAGAAGGTTCAGTACCAAAAATACTCCATTAAATCCTTTTATGGTGCCTGTCACTGAAAGAAGGAATGAGCTGGAAACTTGAACACAGACAGAGGAAATGAGAAGTATGTGGGCAGGAGACTGGCCAGTAACATGGACAAGACATACTGAGGACCTTTGAGGCCCCTTGCATGCTCCAGGATCTCTCCTTTTTTTTTTTTTTTTTCTTGAGAACAAATCAAAAAAGACTTTGTCTGAGGAAATAATCAAACAGGACAGAAAGAACATAAAGAGGATTTTCAAAGCCAGAAGTCTCCTTGTAGTATGCCCTGTTTTGAGTGTGAAGGAGGAGTATTAACCACCAGCAGGTGCACTAATGTAAAATTTGATCCATGTTTCTAGGACTGTGATCTTCTGTCCTAGAGACTGTAGCTGGAGAAAGCTGCCACTGCCTGCCCAGGATGCCGCCTGTTAGGGAAGGGAGCTAGGGTTACTGTTTCCTTCTTCAGATGAGGTAAATGGTGTGAAGATGCAGAGCACCAGAGAGAGAGCAGGAAGAAGTCCTGTTGAGCAGGAAGAAGTCTGGGACCAAGGAGAAGATGAGAACTTGAAAGGAGACATGAAAGCACAACCTGGGCTGTATGAGTGTTCACAGTGGTGGGAGGAAAGGAAATATCATCAGGGGAAGAACCTGGTAGTATGCAGGTGGGCTTTTGGCGGTAATAAGATAAATGGTAATAAACAGCCCAGCCTCAAGAACAAGGAAAGAGCAGAAAATGATGGCACAGAGAATGACACAGCTGGGACTTAGAAGACAGAGATGGAGATAAGCACCAGAATTACTTGGGAATGGATGCTGCCGACAGCTTTCAAACAACTGAATGTCATTAGAGATAAGGGAGAGTGTGGGGTGCATGTGTGGGTGGATGAGGGATGTTTTCACCCATTAAATGAGTTTGAGTTGTGTGGGGAATGTTTCAGTAGCAGGCTGTTTGTCAGCAAGGCCTCCTTTTTTGTTTCGTGTTCCACTCCCACTGTCTTATGCCAAAAAATGAGGAAATAATATATATTTGCCAGAAATAAGATGTGTTGGAATATATTGGGAGGCTGCCTAGCTTATGATCTCTCATTGACAGAAGAGCTACAGAATATAAAAAGTTTTGGAAATTGAAATCAGTGGATGAGATATGAAACATTTATTAGCAAGGGTCTGAGTTGCTACAAAACATACCTCTTCCAGAGCTTCCCAAAATTGTTGTGTCTTGGCATTCTGGAAATGGTGTTTCTTCAAATATGCCTAGACAGAGGTAGAAAACTGTGAAAATACTACTAGGTCTTTCCTCTTTGCCTATGAAAGCAGTACACGTGTTCAGTTGTACAGAGATACAGAGAGTACAGATCAGTTATACAGAGTATCTATCCATGGGTGGTAATATTGTGAGCAGGAGGTTAAATGGATCAATATTTAGCTGATGAAGTTCCTTTGCTTTCCAATGCATCCCTTAAGTCTAAAAGTCAGCATTTTCCAGTGTGACTTGTTAGTGTGAAATAAATATGTAACTAAAGAGTTCTTTGTATTTTGTTTGAATGGATACCAGCATAACCTGTTGCAAATTTCTGTCTAATGTAAGAGGTTTTTTAGAAGGAGGAAGCTATTACAGGATATTTCACTAGCTGTGGACTCAGATTGGAAGTAGGAATGTCTAGTCACCTCTAAGTTGTGATCAAAATGACTGTTACAGGGAATAATGGTATTCAGCTGTTTGCACCTCTTGAACACAGTTCCTGTCCTGTGTCTCACCTGGCTGCTCAGCGGCTGCTTTCCTACCCTGTTATCTGGATCCTGGTGATGTTTAGTCAGTAGATGGTGCTGTTTGTTTCACTGTTAGCCACAGTTGCCTACTTTAATGTTCTTGAAGGCTCTGAGTAGAGGGGGAGTGTTAGTCTCTTGTGGACAATGTGGCTGTATTTTCCTATCTTGTGGAACTGTCCTGATTGAATATTTGAAAGAACAAATAAAGGAAAATACAACTTTCTTGTAGCAGCCCATAAAGATGCTTTCAAGGAGGGAAGGAGCTAAGAAGAAACCTGAGCTGTAACTCTTCAGAGTTGACAGACGTTGGTTCAGAGAAAAGAGCAGATAACCTTCCCCTTTCTGGGAAGGCTCCTTTCTCTTTTTCTTCCCATAATGTTGTAGCATCATGTTTTTTCCTCCACAAGAAAGGACTATGAAATGTGCTGTATCTTCCTTTTCTACTCCTTATTACCCGGGCTTCCTAGGGCTGGGTGTCCCTGCATCAGGGCACAGATGAGCTTATGGCTATAAGAGTGTCTCTGCATAGCAAGCTTGGGTGGGTTGGAGGATTGTGGACAGATGAAGCTGCAGACATAATTTACAGCTGAACAAGGGGATCCTAGCTGACAACAGGACAACAGTGGGGTGGAGGAGGTTTCTCCACTAAAAGCTGTCATGAATTTAGGTCCTCACTGGCAGGCTATCAGATCTTAATGCAATTCACATT